ATGCGTGTGTTTGGCCTTTTGTTTGGCGTTTGTTTTGGTTATATAGAAGGTGCTCCCAAATAGTCTAGGCGGTTAGGATACGTGGTTTTCACCCACGCGACCCGGGTTCAGGTCCCGGTTTGGGAATTTTGCTTTGCTTTTTTCAAATTCTTCGTTCCGCCACGTATATAGCGCTCGTTGTGCTTGCTGGTACGACGTTCGGATGACTGTATGGCCGGTGATTGGAGAGTAGTTCGGCTTAGCACTCGCAGGGGCAACGACCAGCCGGAGGGTAAGCGGGCCGAACACGGCGGTATCTAATTCGGGTTTAAAACAACAGCTCCTGCGTGGTAAAAGGTCTTAGAAGGTGCTGGGATGCAAATGTTGAAGGCGGCAATGCGCGTGGCCTTGGTGTGGTGCGCTTGGTTGTGTGTGAGTATGCGTGGTGTTTGGGCGTTTGTTTGGGGCTTTGTTTTGGTTAATAGAAAGTGCCTCCCCAAATAGTTTAGACGGTTAAGAATACGTTGGTATCACCCACGCGACCCGGGTTCGGGTCCCGGTTTGGGAATTTTGCTTTGCTTTTTCAATTCTTCATTCCGCCACGTATATAGCGCTCCATGTGGTTGCTGGTACGACGTTCGGATGACTGTATGGCCGGTGATGGAGAGTGGTTCGGCTTAGCACTGGCAGGGGCAACGACCAGCCGGTGGGTAAGCGTGGCGAGAACGGCGGTATCTAATTCAGGTTTAAAACAACAGCTCCTGCGTGGTAAAGGTCTTTGAAGGTGCTCAATGCAAAGTTGAAGGCGGCAATGCGCGTGGCCTTGGTGTGGTGCGCTTGGTTGTGTGTAAGTATGCGTGTGTTTGGCCTTTTGTTTGGCGTTTGTTTTGGTTAATAGAAGGTGCTCTCAAATAGTCTAGGCGGTTAGGATACGTTGGTTTCACCCACGCGACCCGGGTTCGAGTCCCGGTTTGGGAATTTGGCTTTGCTTTTTCAATTCTTCGTTCCGCCATGTATATAGCGCTCGTTGTGCTTGCTGGTACGACGTTCGGATGACTGTATGCCCGGTGATGGAGAGTAGCTCGGCTTAGCACTCGCAGGGGCAACGACCAGCCGGTGGGTAAGCGTGGCGAGAACGGCGGTATCTAATTCAGGTTTAAACCACCAGCTCCTGCGTGGTAAAGGTCTTTGAAGGTGCTAAATGCAAAGTTGAAGGGCGGCAATGCGCGTGCCCTGGGTGTGGTGCGCTGGGTTGGGGGTGAGTATGCGTGTGTTTGGCGTTTGTTTGGCGTTTGTTTTGGTTAAAAGAAGGTGCTCCCAAATAGTCTAGGCGGTTAGGATACGTGGCTTTCACCCACGCGACCCGGGTTCGAGTCCCGGTTTGGGAATTTTGCTTTGCTTTTTCAATTCTTCGTTCCGCCATGTATATAGCGCTCGTTGTGCTTGCTGGTACGATGTTCGGATGACTGTATGGCCGGTGATGGAGAGTGGTTCGGCTTAGCACTCGCAGGGTCAACGACCAGCCGGAGGGTAAGCGTGGCGAGAACGGCGGTATCTAATTCGGGTTTAAAACAACAGCTCCTGCGTGGTAAAGGTCTTTGAAGGTGCTGGATGCAAAGTTGAAGGCGGCAATGCGCGTGGCCTTGGTGTGGTGCGCTTGGTTGTGTGTAAGTATGCGTGTGGTTGGCGTTTGTTTGGTGCTTGTTTTGGTTAATAGAAGGTGCTCCCAAATAGTCTAGGCGGTTAGGATACGTGGCTTTCACCCACGCGACCCGGGGTCGAGTGCCGGGTTGGGAATTTTGCTTTGCTTTTTCAATTCTTCCTTCCGCCATGTATATAGCGCTCGTTGTGCTTGCTGGTACGACGTTCGGATGACTGTATGGCCGGTGATGGAGAGTAGCTCGGCTTAGCACTGGCAGGGGCAACGACCAGCCGGAGGGTAAGCGTGGCGAGAACGGCGGTATCTAATTCAGGTTTAAAACAACAGCTCCTGCGTGGTAAAGGTATTTGAAGGTGCTGGATGCAAAGATGAAGGCGGCAATGCGCGTGGCCTTGGTGTGGTGCGCTTGGTTGTGTGTGAGTATGCGTGTGTTTGGCCTTTTGTTTGTCGTTTGTTTTGGTTAATAGAAGTTGCTCCACTAAATAGTCTAGGCGGTTAGGATACGTGGCTTTCACCCACGCGACCCGGGTTCGAGTCCCGGTTTGGGAATTTTGCTTTGCTTTTTCAATTCTTCGTTCCGCCATGTATATAGCGCTCGTTGTGCTTGCTGGTACGACGTTCGGATGACTGTATGGCCGGTGATGGAGAGTAGCTCGGCTTAGCACTCGCAGGGGCAACGACCAGCCGGAGGGTAAGCGTGGCGAGAACGGCGGTATCTAATTCAGGTTTAAAACAACAGCTCCTGCGTGGTAAAGGTATTTGAAGGTGCTGGATGCAAAGTTGAAGGCGGCAATGCGCGTGGCGTTGGTGTGGTGCGCTTGGTTGTGTGTGAGTATGCGTGTGTTTGGCCTTTTGTTTGGCGTTTGGTTTGGTTAAAAGAAGGTGCTCCCAAATAGTCTAGGCGGTTAGGATACGTGGCTTTCACCCACGCGACCCGGGTTCGAGTCCCGGTTTGGGAATTTTGCTTTGCTTTTTCAATTCTTCGCTCCGCCATGTATATAGCGCTCGTTGTGCTTGCTGGTACGACGTTCGGATGACTGTATGGCCGGTGATGGAGAGTAGCTCGGCTTAGCACTCGCAGGGGCAACGACCAGCCGGAGGGTAAGCTGTGGCGAGAACGGCGGTATCTAATTCAGGTTTAAAACAACAGCTCCTGCGTGGTAAAGGTCTTTGAAGGTGCTGGATGCAATGTTGAAGGCGGCAATGCGCGTGGCCTTGGTGTGGTGCGCCTGGTTGTGTGTGAGTATGCGTGTGTTTGGCCTTTTTGTTTTGGCGTTTGTTTTGGTTAATAGAAGGTGCTCCCCAAATAGTCTAGGCGGTTAGGAATACGTGGTTTTCACCCCACGCGACCCGGGTTCGAGTCCCGGTTGAGTCATTTTTGCTTTGCTTTTTCAATTCTTCGTTCCGCCACGTATATAGCGCTCGTTGTGCTTGCTGGTACGATGTTCGGATGACTGTATGGCCGGTGATGGAGAGTAGCTCGGCTTAGCACTCGCAGGGGCAACGACCAGCCGGTGGGTAAGCGTGGCGAGAACGGCGGTGTCTAATTCAGGTTTAAAACAACAGCTCCTGCGTGGTAAAGGTCTTTGAAGGTGCTCAATGCAAAGTTGAAGGCGGCAATGCGCGTGGCCTTGGTGTGGTGCGCTTGGTTGTGTGTGAGTATGCGTGTGTTTGGCGTTTGTTTGGCGTTTGGTTGGCGTTTGTTTTGGTTAATAGAAGGTGCTCCCAAATAGTCTAGGCGATTAGGATACGTGGCTTTCACCCACGCGACCCGGGTTCGAGTCCCGGTTTGGGAATTTTGCTTTGCTTTTTCAATTCTTCGTTCCGCCACGTATATAGCGCTCGTTGTGCTTGCTGGTACGACGTTCGGATGACTGTATGGCCGGTGATGGAGAGTAGCTCGGCTTAGCACTCGCAGGGGCAACGACCAGCCGGAGGGTAAGCGTGGCGAGAACGGCGGTATCTAATTCAGGTTTAAAACAACAGCTCCTGCGTGGTAAAGGTCTTTGAAGGTGCTGGATGCAAAGTTGAAGGCGGCAATGCGCGTGGTCTTGGTGTGGTGCGCTTGGTTGTGTGTAAGTATGCGTGTGTTTGGCCTTTTGTTTGTCGTTTGTTTTGGTTAAAAGAAGGTGCTCCCAAATAGTCTAGGCGGTTAGGATACGTGGCTTTCACCCACGCGACCCGGGTTCGAGTCCCGGTTTGGGAATTTTGCTTTGCTTTTTCAATTCTTCGTTCCGCCATGTATATAGCGCTTGTTGTGCTTGCTGGTACGACGTTCGGATGACTGTATGGCCGGTGATGGAGAGTAGCTCGGCTTAGCACTCGCAGGGGCAACGACCAGCCGGTGGGTAAGCGTGGCGAGAACGGCGGTATCTAATTCAGGTTTGAAACAACAGCTCCTGCGTGGTAAAGGTATTTGAAGGTGCTCAATGCAAAGTTGAAGGCGGCAATGCGCGTGGCCTTGGTGTGGTGCGCTTGGTTGTGTGTGAGTATGCGTGTGTTTGGCGTTTTGTTGGCGGTTGGTTTGGGTAATAGAAGGTGCTCACAAATAGTCTAGGCGATTAGGATACGTGGCTTTCACCCACGCGACCCGGGTTCGAGTCCCGGTTTGGGAATTTTGCTTTGCTTTTTCAATTCTTCGTTTCGCCACGTATATAGCGCTCGATGTGGTTGCTGGTACGACGTTCGAATGACTGTATGGCCGGTGATGGAGAGTGGTTCGGCTTAGCACTCGCAGGGGCAGCGCCCAGCGGGAGGGTAAGCGTGGCGAGAACGGCGGTACATAACTCAGGTTCACAACAACAGCTCCTGCGTGGTAAAGGTCTTTGAAGGTGCTGGACGCAATGTTGAAGGCGGCAATGCGCGTGCCCTTGATGTGGTGCGCTTGGTTGTGTGAGTATGCGTGTGTTTGGCTTTTTGTTTGGCGTTTGTTTTGGTTAATAGAAGGTGCTCCCAAATAGTCTAGGCGATTAGGATACGTGGCTTTCACCCACGCGACCCGGGTTCGAGTCCCGGTTTGGGAATTTTGCTTTGCTTTTTCAATTCTTCGTTCCGCCATGTATATAGCGCTCGATGTGGTTGCTGGTACGACGTTCGGATGCCTGTATGGCCGGTGATGCAGAGTGGTTCGGCTTAGCACTCGCAGAAGCAACGACCAGCCGGTGGGTAAGCGTGGCGAGAACGGCGGTATCTAATTCGGGTTTAAAACAACAGCTCCTGCGTGGTAAAGGTCTTTATAGGTGCTAAATGCAAAGTTGAAGGCGGCAATGCGCGTGGCCTTGGTGTGGTGCGCTTGGTTGTGTGTAAGTATGCGTGTGTTTGGCCTTTTGTTTGGCGTTTGTTTTGGTTAATAGAAGGTGCTCCCAAATAGTCTAGGCGGTTAGGATACGTTGGTTTCACCCACGCGACCCGGGTTCGAGTCCCGGTTTGGGAATTTGGTTTGCTTTTTCAATTCTTCGTTCCGCCATGTATATAGCGCTCGTTGTGCTTGCTGGTACGACGTTCGGATGACTGTATGGCCGGTGATGGAGAGTAGCTCGGCTTAGCACTCGCAGGGGCAACGACCAGCCGGAGGGTAAGCGTGGCGAGAACGGCGGTATCTAATTCAGGTTTAAAACAACAGCTCCTGCGTGGTAAAGGTCTTTGAAGGTGCTAAATGCAAAGTTGAAGGCGGCAATGCGCGTGGCCTTGGTGTGGTGCGCTTGGTTGTGTGTGAGTATGCGTGTGTTTGGCCTTTTGTTTGGCGTTTGTTTTGGTTAATAGAAGGTGCTCCCAAATAGTCTAGGCGGTTAGGATACGTGGCTTTCACCCACGCGACCCGGGTTCGAGTCCCGGTTTGGGAATTTTGCTTTGCTTTTTCAATTCTTCGTTCCGCCATGTATATAGCGCTCGTTGTGCTTCATGGTACGACGTTCGGATGACTGTATGGCCGGTGATGGAGAGTAGCTCGGCTTAGCACTCGCAGGGGCAACGACCAGCCGGTAGGTAAGCGTGGCGAGAACGGCGGTATCTAATTCAGGTTTAAAACAACAGCTCCTGCGTGGTAAAGGTCTTTGAAGGTGCTAAATGCAAAGTTGAAGGCGGCAATGCGCGTGGCCTTGGTGTGGTGCGCTTGGTTGTGTGTGAGTATGCGTGTGTTTGGCCTTTTGTTTGTCGTTTGTTTTGGTTAATAGAAGGTGCTCCCAAATAGTCTAGGCGGTTAGGATACGTGGCTTTCACCCACGCGACCCGGGTTCGAGTCCCGGTTTGGGAATTTTGCTTTGCTTTTTCAATTCTTCGTTCCGCCATGTATATAGCGCTCGTTGTGCTTGCTGGTACGACGTTCGGATGACTGTATGGCCGGTGATGGAGAGTAGCTCGGCTTAGCACTCGCAGGGGCAACGACCAGCCGGTGGGTAAGCGTGGCGAGAACGGCGGTATCTAATTCAGGTTTAAAACAACAGCTCCTGCGTGGTAAAGGTCTTTGAAGGTGCCCAATGCAAAGTTGAAGGCGGCAATGCGCGTGGCCTTGGTGTGGTGCGCTTGGTTGTGTGTGAGTATGCGTGTGTTTGGCCTTTTGTTTGGCGTTTGTTTTGATTAAAAGAAGGTGCTCCCAAATAGTCTAGGCGGTTAGGATACGTGGCTTTCACCCACGCGACCCGGGTTCGAGTCCCGGTTTGGGAATTTTGCTTTACTTTTTCAATTCTTCGTTCCGCCATGTATATAGCGCTCGTTGTGCTTGCTGGTACGACGTTCGGATGACTGTATGGCCGGTGATGGAGAGTAGCTCGGCTTAGCACTCGCAGGGGCAACGACCAGCCGGTGGGTAAGCGTGGCGAGAACGGCGGTATCTAATTCAGGTTTAAAACAACAGCTCCTGCGTGGTAAAGGTCTTTGAAGGTGCTCAATGCAAAGTTGAAGGCGGCAATGCGCGTGGCCTTGGTGTGGTGCGCTTGGTTGTGTGTAAGTATGCGTGTGTTTGGCCTTTTGTTTGTCGTTTGTTTTGGTTAATAGAAGGTGCTCCCAAATAGTCTAGGCGGTTAGGATACGTGGCTTTCACCCACGCGACCCGGGTTCGAGTCCCGGTTTGGGAATTTTGCTTTGTTTTTTCAATTCTTCGTTCCGCCATGTATATAGCGCTCGTTGTGCTTGCTGGTACGACGTTCGGATGACTGTATGGCCGGTGATGGAGAGTAGCTCGGCTTAGCACTCGCAGGGGCAACGACCAGCCGGAGGGTAAGCGTGGCGAGAACGGCGGTATCGAATTCAGGTTTAAAACAACAGCTCCTGCGTGGTAAAGGTATTTGAAGGTGCTAAATGCAAAGTTGAAGGCGGCAATGCGCGTGGCCTTGGTGTGGTGCGCTTGGTTGTGTGTGAGTATGCGTGTGTTTGGCGTTTGTTTGGCGTTTGTTTGGCGTTTGTTTTGGTTAAAAGAAGGTGCTCCCAAATAGTCTAGGCGGTTAGGATACGTGGCTTTCACCCACGCGACCCGGGTTCGAGTCCCGGTTTGGGAATTTTGCTTTGCTTTTCAAATTTTTTCGCTCCGCCATGTATATAGCGCTCGTTTGTGCTTGCTGGTAAGAAGATCGGATGACTGTATGGCCGGTCATGTAGAGTAGATCGGCTTAGCACTCGCAGGGCCAGCGACCAGCCGATGCGTAAGCGTAGGCGAGAACGGGCGGGTATCTTAATTCCAGCGTTAAAAACAACAGCCTCTCCGGCGTGGTAAAGGTCTAGGTCGGTGAAGGAGCCAAAATCAAAGGCGAAGGCGGCATTGGCCGTGGCGTGGGGCCGGTGCCGTGGTTGAGTGTGATTTGGTTTGGCGTTGGTTTGGCGTTTCTTTGGCGTTTGTTGTGGTTAATAGAAGGTGCTCCCAAATAGTATAGGCGGTTAGGATACGTGGCTTTCACCCACGCGACCCGGGTTCGAGTCCCGGTTTGGGAATTTTGCTTTGCTTTTTCAATTCTTCGTACCCCCCAGGTATATAGCGCTCGTTGTGCTTGCTGGTACGACGTTCGGATGACTGTATGGCCGGTGATGGAGAGTAGCTCGGCTTAGCACTCGCAGGGGCAACGACCAGCCGGTGGGTAAGCGTGGCGAGAACGGCGGTATCTAATTCAGGTTTAAAACAACAGCTCCTGCGTGGTAAAGGTCTTTGAAGGTGCTGGATGCAAAGTTGAAGGCGGCAATGCGCGTGGCCTTGATGTGGTGCGCTTGGTTGTGTGTGAGTATGCGTGTGTTTGGCCTTTTGTGTGGCGTTTGTTTTGGTTAATAGAAGGTGCTCCCAAATAGTCTAGGCAGTTAGGATACGTGGCTTTCACCCACGCGACCCGGGTTCGAGTCCCGGTTTGGGAATTTTGCTTTGCTTTTTCAATTCTTCGTTCCGCCATGTATATAGCGCTCGTTGTGCTTGCTGGTACGACGTTCGGATGACTGTATGGCCGGTGATGGAGAGTGGTTCGGCTTAGCACTCGCAGGGGCAACGACCAACCGGAGGGTAAGCGTGGCGAGAACGGCGGTATCTAATTCAGGCTCACAACAGCAGCTCCTGCGTAGTAAAGGTCTTTGAAGGTGCTGGATGCAATGTTGAAGGCGGCAATGCGCGTGGCCTTGGTGTGGTGCGCTTGGTTGTGTGTGAGTATGCGTGTGTTTGGCCTTTTGTTTGGCGTTTGTTTTGGTTAATAGAAGGTGCTCCCAAATAGTCTAGGCGGTTAGGATACGTGGCTTTCACCCACGCGACCCGGGTTCGAGTCCCGGTTTGGGAATTTTGCTTTGCTTTTTCAATTCTTCGTTCCGCCATGTATATAGCGCTCGTTGTGCTTGCTGGTACGACGTTCGGATGACTGTATGGCCGGTGATGGAGAGTAGCTCGGCTTAGCACTCGCAGGGGCAACGACCAGCCGGTAGGTAAGCGTGGCGAGAACGGCGGTATCTAATTCAGGTTTAAAACAACAGCTCCTGCGTGGTAAAGGTCTTTGAAGGTGCTAAATGCAAAGTTGAAGGCGGCAATGCGCGTGGCCTTGGTGTGGTGCGCTTGGTTGTGTGTAAGTATGCGTGTGTTTGGCCTTTTGTTTGTCGTTTGTTTTGGTTAAAAGAAGGTGCTCCCAAATAGTCTAGGCGGTTAGGATACGTGGCTTTCACCCACGCGACCCGGGGTCGAGGCCCGGTTCGGGAATTTTGCTTTTTCAATTCTTTGTTCCGTCATGTATATAGCGCTCGTTGTGCTTGCTGGTACGACGTTCGATGACTGTATGGCCGGTGATGGAGAGGTAGCTCGGCTAGCACTCGCAGGGGCAACGACCAGCCGGAGGGTAAGCGTGGCGAGAACGGCGGTATCTAATTCAGGGTTTAAAACAACAGCTCCTGCGTGGTTAAAGGTATTTGAAGGTGCTAAATGCAAAGTTGAAGGCGGCAATGCGCGTGGCCTTGGTGTGGTGCGCTTGGTTGTGTGTGAGTATGCGTGTGTTTGGCCTTTTGTTTGTCGTTTGTTTTGGTTAATAGAAGGTGCTCCCAAATAGTCTAGGCGGTTAGGATACGTGGCTTTCACCCACGCGACCCGGGTTCGAGTCCCGGTTTGGGAATTTTGCTTTGCTTTTTCAATTCTTCGCTCCGCCATGTATATAGCGCTCGTTGTGCTTGCTGGTACGACGTTCGGATGACTGTATGGCCGGTGATGGAGAGTAGCTCGGCTTAGCACTCGCGGGGGCAACGACCAGCCGGTAGGTAATCGTGGCGAGAACGGCGGTATCTAATTCAGGTTTAAAACAACAGCTCCTGCGTGGTAAAGGTATTTGAAGGTGCTAAATGCAAAGTTGAAGGCGGCAATGCGCGTGGCCTTGGTGTGGTGCGCTTGGTTGTGTGTGAGTATGCGTGTGTTTGGCCTTTTGTTTGTCGTTTGTTTTGGTTAATAGAAGGTGCTCCCAAATAGTCTAGGCGGTTAGGATACGTGGCTTTCACCCACGCGACCCGGGTTCGAGTCCCGGTTTGGGAATTTTGCTTTGCTTTTTCAATTCTTCGCTCCGCCATGTATATAGCGCTCGTTGTGCTTGCTGGTACGACGTTCGGATGACTGTATGGCCGGTGATGGAGAGTAGCTCGGCTTAGCACTCGCAGGGGCAACGACCAGCCGGAGGGTAAGCGTGGCGAGAACGGCGGTATCGAATTCAGGTTTAAAACAACAGCTCCTGCGTGGTAAAGGTATTTGAAGGTGCTAAATGCAAAGTTGAAGGCGGCAATGCGCGTGGCCTTGGTGTGGTGCGCTTGGTTGTGTGTGAGTATGCGTGTGTTTGGCCTTTTGTTTGTCGTTTGTTTTGGTTAATAGAAGGTGCTCCCAAATAGTCTAGGCGGTTAGGATACGTGGCTTTCACCCACGCGACCCGGGTTCGAGTCCCGGTTTGGGAATTTTGCTTTGCTTTTTCAATTCTTCGCTCCGCCATGTATATAGCGCTCGTTGTGCTTGCTGGTACGACGTTCGGATGACTGTATGGCCGGTGATGGAGAGTAGCTCGGCTTAGCACTCGCAGGGGCAACGACCAGCCGGAGGGTAAGCGTGGCGAGAACGGCGGTATCTAATTCAGGTTTAAAACAACAGCTCCTGCGTGGTAAAGGTCTTTGAAGGTGCTTAAAATGCAAAGTTGAAGGCGGAAATGCGCGTGCCCTTGGTGTGGCGCGCTTGGTTGTGTGTAAGTATGCGTGTGTTTGGCCTTTTGTTGGCGTTTGGTTTGGTAAATAAGAAGTGCGCCCCCTAAATAGTCAAGGCGGTAGAGATACGTGGTTTTTCACCCACGCGTCCCGGGTTCGAGTCCCCGTTTTGGGAATTTTGCTTTGCTTTTTCAATTCTTCGTTCCGCCATGTATATAGCGCTCGTTGTGCTTGCTGGTACGACGTTCGGATGACTGTATGGCCGGTGATGGAGAGTAGCTCGGCTTAGCACTCGCAGGGGCAACGACCAGCCGGTAGGTAAGCGTGGCGAGAACGGCGGTATCTAATTCAGGTTTAAAACAACAGCTCCTGCGTGGTAAAGGTCTTTGAAGGTGCTAAATGCAAAGTTGAAGGCGGCAATGCGCGTGGCCTTGGTGTGGTGCGCTTGGTTGTGTGTAAGTATGCGTGTGTTTGGCCTTTTGTTTGGCGTTTGTTTTGATTAAAAGAAGGTGCTCCCAAATAGTCTAGGCGGTTAGGATACGTGGCTTTCACCCACGCGACCCGGGTTCGAGTCCCGGTTTGGGAATTTTGCTTTGCTTTTTCAATTCTTCGTTCCGCCATGTATATAGCGCTCGTTGTGCTTGCTGGTACGACGTTCGGATGACTGTATGGCCGGTGATGGAGAGTAGCTCGGCTTAGCACTCGCAGGGGCAACGACCAGCCGGTGGGTAAGCGTGGCGAGAACGGCGGTATCTAATTCAGGTTTAAAACCTGAATTAGATAGTGGGCTTGACTGGACACTGATTGCTATACCAGAAATGAGGTACAACGATTTTGCGTCGACACATTTTGTGGAGACGAGAACTACGTCTCAACATTTTACTACCGGTTTGTGACAACAAATACGTCAGAGCTGGATTGGAGCGTCACGATCTGTAACTGACGATAGGGATGTAGCTAAGCGTGTGCGCGATGCGAAAAGAGCCCGAGCTAGGTGCGCTGCCATAACGATGTCACAAAATCAACGGCACGAGCGAAGGACGCGGATAGGAAACGAATATGTAGAGCTAACAGATTCTAGTCCCAGGTTATCCGAGACTGTGGACGAGATTCTGGTCAAGCGAGGATACGACGCGGGCGAATGGAACTCTTCCAAAACCTACACAAATGCAATCACAAACACAAAATTATAAGTGAAATGTGTTAAAATATATGTCGAATTTGTGTTGTGTCTGCTAGCATATTAAAATCAACACCTTTAAGGTTATGGGTACATGTATGCGACCGCTGGATGCTGGCCATTCACCCTTTTGATGGCTCGGATCACTCCCCAGCGGCTTGTGGTAGCGTGCGAGCACCGAAAAACGCGTTTAAAGAAGCAGGTTTTGCTGCTTGTACGGCTGCGCTGTATGTATCCTTTTGATCGCAACGTTCTAACAGTTGAAGCACTCATTGATCCTGAGGACGGGGCTTCACTACGCCTCAACTTGAACGTACGTACCATAGTGTATCACAAACAGGATCTCACGGA